AAAAAAAAAAAAAAAAAAAAAAGAAAAGAAAATCAGGCTGTGCTTTTTACAGAAAGGAGGAATTGGATTCTGGGCAAACAAAACCACCTGCCTAGGAGGCAAGGTGTCCAGAGGCCATCCTCCGCCCAAGGACTTTTGAACTTTCTGCAACCTTCCCGTGGCATCACTGTCACTACCTTTACCTGCTTTATGGGAAATTCCTGTAAATGAAAGGAACTTAGAGCTTGTGTGCCGGGACTGTCAAGCAGTGGGGAAAGGAGAAGTCCAAAAACCAGGACAGAGGCTGCTCAGGGTCATGATCGCGTAGCTGAGGCTGCCGAAGACCTGAGAGATGTCCTGTTTCCTAGGCAATCATAGTCTTGCCTCTTGGTTGAGGGTAGGGAAGAGCACAGCACAAGTGCATGATGGTCTTGAGAGGCTCTGCCCCAACCCTTCTGGTCAAGCACTCACAGCCCAGGGGAGGCCCACGTCAGCGTGGTCTCGACTGGTCTGGTCTTGACTCTTTGCAGGTGGCAGCCTATGGAGGGAAGCTGCGATATACTCTTTCCTACACAGCAGGGCCTCAAGGCAGCCCACTCTCTGACCCTGATGTCCAGATCACAGTGAGCATTCGGGCTATGTGCTAAGGTGGGGGTGGGGGGGGCAAAGGGGCAGATGGAAACTAGGGGCACCCTCAGCGTTTGCTTTTCAACCCAGCACTCAGCTGGCTCAGCACCGGTGCTGGAGTGTTAGGCACCCACTCCCATCTCGCGGCCTGGGTGTACACTTCCCAAGCAGAGGTCCAGCTGCTGCAAGGAGCATCTGACTCCCTTTGGGCATATGAGTTTGCTTGAGCAAGGAGAAGCTGGGACTGCCTGCCACCCCAAGAGCCCCTCAGTTCCCCTCCCAATCCTGCTGATGCCTCCCCAGGGCAACAACATCATGTTGGTGGCTTCCCAGCCAGCGGTGCCGGGTCCCCAGAGGAAGAGCTACGAGATCATCTTCCGAGAGGTGAGGTGGACTTGGCCACATCATGCCTGACGTAGGCTACCCAGTCCTCCATCCCGATTTGGAGCCTGACCTTGAGCCCACTGCTCCTGCCTCTCACTCCCCACCCTCACCTCACCACCTTCAGTCAGCGCCTAGAGGGCAGGGGGCGCTACAAGAGCAGCACAGAAAACCCAATGCCCCCCACCCTGTATTTGCTCCCCAGGAATTCTGGCGCCGGCCTGACGGGCAGCCAGCCACACGTGAACACCTTCTGATGGCACTGGCTGACCTGGATGAGCTCCTGGTACGGGCTACATTCTCTTCCATGCCGCTAGCGGCCAGCATCAGTGCCGTCAGCCTGGAGGTTGCCCAGCCTGGACCCTCGGATGGACCCCGGGCCCATGAGGTGGAGGAGTGCCGCTGCCCACCAGGCTATGCTGGCTTGTCCTGCCAGGTGAGCACGGGGGCAGATGAACCACCTTTGCACAGGCACAGCAGTGTCAGCAAGCTGACCAACTGGCATCACCATGGCCTATGAATGCTGTCATAACTATATTGACCCCCAGTACCTGCATCATACCGTGTGTTCCTCCCAGCAGCCCTGAGATATGTATAATTATTCTACTTAATAGATTTTTAAAAATAGAGGCACTGAGGCATGATGACATGCCCTTATGCGGCTCATGCGGCTGAAACTAATCTGAAGCCAGGTCTGATTGACTGCAAAGCCTAGCGTGTCCTAACCACTGCATAGTATTCCCTCAAGCGTGGGCTATGCTCCCCAGAGGTTGAGACCCAGCCTGTGTCCTTGGGGTGCCCACCAGAGACAGGGAGACCACACAGAAACACCAGAGAGGAGGGGTTCTAGATCTGCTGACTGTGGATGGGACCTGTTGGGATTGAAGCTCAACCTTCCTCTCTGCCTTCAGGACTGTGCCCCCGGCTACACGCGCACTGGGAGTGGGCTCTACCTTGGCCACTGTGAGCTGTGTGAATGCAATGGCCACTCAGACCTGTGCCATGCAGAGACTGGTGCCTGCTCGGTGAGCTGCAAACAAGGCCGGGGCAGGAGGGCATCTTGCCTGGGGCTGGCTGGGGAAACAGAGTCATTAGATCCAGGGGCGAGGGCATGGGGTATGACCTGTGAGTCGAAGCATCTGGGTCAGCAGACCAGATCACCATACGGGGTCACCAGGCATGGTGGAGTGTCCAGAGCTATGGAGTTACAGCCTTCTTTGTAAAGAAAATTTTAAGGCTGGACGTGGTGGCTTATGCCTATAATCCTAGCACTTTGGGAGGTGAAAGTGGGTAGATTGCTTGAGTTCAGGAGTTCAAGATCAGCCCGAGTAAGAGTGAGACCCTATATCTACTAAAAATAGAAAACAACTAGCTGGACCTGGTAGTGTACATTGGTAGTCCCAGGTACTTGGGAGGTTGAGGCAAGAGGATCACTTGAGCCTAAGAATTTGAGGTTGCTGTGAGCTATGATACTATGGCACTCTACCCTGGGTGACAGAGTAAAACTCTGTCTCTAAAGAAAACTTTGGTTTTGCTCATTTTTTAAAAATTAATTAATTTATTTTTTTGAGACAGAGTCTCACTATGTCGCCCTCGGTAGAGTGCTGCGGTGTCACAGCTCACAACAACCTCAAACTCTTGGGCTTAAGCCATTCTCTTGCCTCAGCCTCCCAAGTAGCTGGGACTACAGGTGCCTGCCATAGCACCCAGCTATTTTTTGGTTGCAGTTGTCATTGTTGTTCAGCTGGCCTGGGCCAGGTTCAAACCCACCAGCCTGGGTGTATGTGGCCGGTGTCCTACTCACTGAGCTACAGGTACTGCCTGGTTTTGCTTATTTTTTTTTTATCACCAAAGTGACACATAGTCTCTGTAGAGACAAAAGACTATAGAGAGAAATCGAAAGGAAAGGAAAATTCTCTGTAATCTTAAAACTTGAAGGAATCACTGTCAATTTTAGAGAGAGCTCTCTTGCTACTTTTCTGGGCAAATACATACACATATTAGTAATATACTCCTCATTCTCCAAATTAACATAGGATCATCATGCCTGGTAATCAGCTTTTTTCCTATAGTAGTTCTATAGGAGAGACCGCACATACAGTAGTTCTATAGTGCCCCTAGTAGTTCTATATGCTGCCCCTGACTGTGTACCCTGGAGGGCTACACAAACAATACTCTGACAGGGGGAGGAGGGAGGTTTGATAGAGGGAGGGCGAATGGTGGGATCACACCTATGGAGCATATTGCAAGAGTACAAGGCAAATCTGTCAAGTGTAGAACATAAATAAATGTCTTAACACAATATTTATTGACACAATAGTTATTGTGTCAATAATTGTGTTATTCTTAACACAGTAATTATTGTGACATTTACGTTCTACACTTGACAGATTTGCCTTGTTCTCTTGCAATATGCTCCATAGGTGTGATCCTGCCATTCGCCCTCCCTCTATCAAACCTCCCTCCTCCCCCTGTCAGAGCATTGTTTGTGTAGCCCTCCAGGGTACACAGTCAGGGGCAGCTTGTTGACAGGGTCACAGACTAAACCCAGAGCAGAGACACACTCTGTTGATACAACACACATGGGTCTCTTTGGAGGCGAATATACAACCCACACGTGTTTTTCTGGTGAAGCTCCCTCCCAAATATCCAGGTATACGTCTTTACTTTCCTTTGATATTATAGGTATTTAGGTAGAAAAATAGAAGAAATAGAATCAACATCATCCTTTTCTTTATTTTTTAATTTTAGATTAATATGAGGGTCCGTACGATTAGGTTATAGGTTATAAGGTTACCTTACATTTGTAAGGTAAAGTCCCAGTTGTAGTAGAGTCCTTCACCCTGGAAGCGTGCCATATACCCCTACATGGGTATGTTAGGTGGGAACTTACCAACCCCCCTCCTCCTTTTCCTTGAATTTAATTGTGTTTTTCTCTTGTGTGGGCCTGTACTTGTTGATTTACTAGTCTCAATGTAGTACTGAGTACATGGGATGCTTGCTTTTCTTTTCTTTTTTTGAGACAGAGCCTCAAGCTGTCCCCCTGGGTAGAGTGCCGTGGCATCATGGCTCATAGCAACCTCCAACTCCTGGGCTCAAGCGAGTCTCCTGCCTCTACCTCCCAAGTAGCTGGGACTACAGGCGCCCACCACAATGCCTGGCTATTTTTTGGTTGCAGCCATCATTGTTGTTTGGTGGGTCCAGGCTGAATTCAAACCTGCCACCTTAGGTGTATGTGGCTGGCACCTTAGCCACTTGAGCCACAGGTGCTGAGCCAATGCTTGCTTTTCTATTCTCTAGGAGAATATTCTCCAAATCCATCCAGATAAATACAAAAGATGCAAAGTCTCTGTCTTTTTCAATCTCATTATTTTTGATCGCTATTTGGATGCATGTACTTTTCACTTACCCAATTCCCTGTTCATGGATGTTTAGGTTTGTTTCTAGAGTTTTCCTTTAATAAACATCACTGAGATGACTATCTCTATAAAGAAATCTTTGTGCCCTTCCACGATGAGGTCTTTGAGTTAAGTTTACAAACTTGAAATTTCTGGTAAATTTTGACATGTGACTGGTGTCTCATACCCTTGTGTCTCACAGCAATGCCAGCACAACGCTGCCGGGGAGTTCTGCGAGCTGTGTGCTCCTGGCTACTATGGAGATGCTACAGCCGGGACGCCTGAGGACTGCCAGCCCTGTGCCTGCCCACTGACCAACCCAGAAAACATGTGGGTGCCCTTGTTCAAGAGCCCGGGACAAAATCCCACAGGGGGATGGAGGGCACTGCGCTGGCTCTCAGGGTAGACTTGGAAGGAACAAGATGGGGAGTTGGTTTTCTAGGACTTGACTTTTGCTCCGCCCCGCCCCTCCCACCAGGTTCTCCCGCACCTGTGAGAGCCTGGGAGCTGGTGGGTACCGCTGCACAGCCTGCGAACCCGGCTACACTGGCCAGTACTGTGAGCAGTAAGTTTGCAAACAGGAGGAGGGAAGGGAGGCTGACAAATGGTTGACTCCTAGGTGAGAACTCTAAATGGTGTTGCTCAGAAAAATCTCTACTAGGATTATGTTCTTTCCCCACCCAGAACTTCCAAAGACTCCGCATTGCTCTTGGGACAAGCACAAGCTCCTTAGCCATCTTTACTGTGCCCTGTTCTCATCCTGCTTCTGACACCCAACTTTGTACTCTACTGGGTTTTTTAAATTCTTCATGTTCTTGTATGTGCGGTCTCTTCTGCTTGGAACATTCTTCACAGTCAAACCTTCCCTTCCTGGCTAACTGCTACTCAGGCTTCCAGACTCAGCTTCACTCACTAATTCAGCAAATTTGTATCCAGCATCTACTGTGGTATTGGAGATGAAATGGTGAACAAAGCACATTCTTTCCCAGCCCTTATGGCACCTGCCACCCCTGATAGGGGGACAAGATGAGAAAACAGTAATCGTGCAAACATACATTCACCAACCAAGACCAGTTCTCTGAAAAAAGAGTATACACCTGCTCCAAAGTAATATAGTGGCTCAGAAGTCCCATCCCCTGCAAAGCCCTCTTGATTCTCAGGGCCAAATCAGTGCCCCCCTTTAAACTCTCACAGCCCTGATAATGCTTCCCTCCCCCTCATCTTACATAGTGTCCCCAATGAGTTCCCAACGAGTAAGTTCCATAAGATCAGAGACTTTATCGTGTTCAATGCTATATTTCCAATACCAACAATTGCTAAGTGAATGTTTCCCTGGAGAATAAAGACCCTACCTACCTCCCACATTAGCCAACCACTCCCTTACATTCTCCTTTCTCTGCTCCCCAGTGCTCTGTGTTAGGGCCTCTTTAGTCCCCAAAGTGCTTCCAGAGCTCTGAGCCTCGTCACCCCACACAGGATAGCCAGCCAAGCTTCTGGCTCCCCAAGTCCACCATGAGGCATTGGGACCCTTGGGACCTGACAGAGCTGGTCTTTGTTCCCCCTTGCAGGTGTGCCCCAGGTTACGTGGGTAATCCCAATGTGCAAGGGGGCCGGTGCGTGCCACAGAGTAAGTGGGACCATGGCCCGGGGTCGGGGTGATGGGTAAGGCAGGGGGCCTGGGAGTTTGGGGAATATTAGGTCTGAGGATACGGCTGATGATGGGACATCCCAGTCTCTGGGAGAACAGAGATGTCTGAGACAAAGCTGTATGCTGGGGACCTCTTGCCCAACTGACCTCTCCTGTTCCCAGCAAACCAGGCCTCACTGGTGGTCCAGGTCCATCCTGCCCGGAGCATAGTACCCCAAGGTGGACCCCACTCCCTGCGGTGCCAGGTCAGCGGGAGCCCACCCCACTACTTCTACTGGTCTCGTGAAGATGGGCGGCCCTTGCCCAGCAGCACCCAGCAGCGACATCAAGGTACCCCTGGCCCCAGGCTCTTCAGCCCCTTGAGTCACTGCAGTGGGAGGGGAGGCAGGGGCCTGTCTCAGCCCCTTGCATATGGGGCTAGATCGGAGATGGGATAGTTCTGCACCTAAAAGCTCCACCCCCTCTCCACCAGGCTCTGAGCTCCACTTCCCTAGTGTCCAGCCCTCAGATGCTGGGGTCTACATCTGCACCTGTCGCAACCTCCACCATGTCAATACCAGCCGGGCAGAGCTGCTGGTCACTGGTGAGTCCCTGCTTCCCCTGTCCCTAGACTGTCTGTCCTGGGCTGGACTGCTACAGCCCCAGGCAGATGGTGCCTTCACCTGCTGGGAGGGGATAGTGGTTGTGTGGACAAGGGCAGTGGCCATGGAGATGGGGAGAGGTGATGGATTCAAGGTCCGTTTTAGAGGCAGAATCAGCAGGACTTGATTGTGGTCAGAGAGAAAGAAAAGGATGGTGCCCAGGGAACTGTGTTCTGGCAACTGGGTAAATGGGCTGCTGTTTACAGAGATGGAGGAGGTGCCAGTGGGAGAGTGTCTTCATTCAGGCTCCCTCTAAAGTCTGAAAGAAGGATCTGTGTGCAAGTAGCTGAGGAAGGTAAAGTAAGACAGGAAGGGAAGGTAGCCAATAAAGGTATGTTATCAGGCAAATTTCTACCATAATACAGCAAGAAAGCTCTGAGGGCCAGTGTAAGACATGCATACTGGACTCCTCCTGCCCTGGAGTCCAGGGGCTGGCTGGGGGTGTGTGTACCACAGTACATGCTACAGACGGGTCAGAGAGAGTTGAAAGTTTGCCTTGGACTAGTTGAAGTCTGAGGTGTTTGGAAAGATATCTTAGTGGGTCCATCAGGCAGGCAATTGAATATGTGAGTCTGAACTTGGGAAAGAGGCCCCAGCCAGAGAAATGAATTTGGAAGCTGCTGGCACAGGGATGGTGTTTAAAGCTTTGCAGCAGGATGAAGTCACCCAGGCAGAATATGGCTGGAGGACAGGGCTCAGCACAGAGCCCCAGGGAGCTCCAGCGTGACCTTGTGTCAAGTTGGAGAGAAAAAGCAGCCAGCAAGTGGGAGGTGTAGCCAGCGGGGGAGAGCAGCATTGAGGGAGTCAGGAGGAAAAGGGCTTCCAGGAGAACATGGCCAGCCTCGCCACCAGGCAGTCAGAGGAGGGCAGAGAATTCACCCTCAGAGGTCATGCCTTGACATGAGTGTTTTTCATGGGGGACAAGAAATAGAAACCAGATTGGAGTGAAGCAGGGAACAGAAGAGAAGGCAGCTGGTATAGACAACTCTTGCAAGAGTCTTGGCTCTAAGGGGAAGCCAAGAAATGGGGCAGTGGCTGGGAGAGCAGGGGGCCCCACGGGGAATTTCAGAAATGAGACCTTTTGTCTGTGGAGCAAAATGAACCCATGAGAGGGAAAAGGAAGAAGTCCCGGGGTGGGTCCCACATTCAGAAGGTGCAGGGGTGGGACAGAGGGAGGTGGGAAGATGGGAAAACTCCAGCTTTCTTACCAAGTGTGAGTTGAAGCCATTAGCTATGAAAGTGTCTGGGGAGGTAGGAGGAGGTGGGAGGAGGTGTGAAATAGTTATTTAGGAGAATAGAAACTCAAACCAGACGGAGAAACCCAGTTGGAGCTAAGTGTGAAGTGTTAGGAGCTCGTTTGTGGTCTGTGATTGTGAGCTGGAGCCAAGTGGACCTGTAGCGCGATGTTCCCCAACCACATCCCGCGGGCTGCGTGTGCCAGCAGGGAGAACAGGGTGGTCGGGTCCAACCAGCATGAGGGAGCGAAGTGCCAGCAACGGATGGGCAGCTAAGCTGGACTAGGCAGGAAGCGATACCCAGAAGGGATGACTGGGAAAGAGAATGTGACCACAGGACAGGGCTCCAGCTGGTGCCAGCTCACTATGGTGGGGCCTTTCCCACACAGAGGCTCCAAGCAAGCCCATCACAGTGACTGTGGAGGAGCAGCGGAGCCAGAGCGTGCGTCCTGGGGCTGACGTCACCTTCATCTGCACAGCCAAGAGCAAGGTGTGCAGGGCAGAGAGTAGGGGTGGGGGTGGGGCTGTCTTCTGGGATCTGAGTCCACCCATGACCCCCACCGCTCCCCTTTGCCCTGCAGTCTCCAGCCTACACCCTGGTGTGGACCCGCCTACACAACGGGAAACTGCCAGCCCGTGCCATGGATTTCAATGGCATCCTGACCATCCGCAACGTGCAGCCCAGTGATGCCGGCACCTACGTGTGCACCGGCTCCAACATGTTTGCCATGGACCAGGGCACGGCCACGCTGCATGTGCAGGGTACACCTCCTAACTATGCCTGACCCTCCCAACCTCAGCTTTCTCCTGTGCCCACCAGGACTGGCACACCATTTCTTCATGCAGCTGGTCATTTCTAAGCACCTGGGGTGTGCCTGGTCCTGGTCAGGCTCTGAAGAGGCAGGTGGTAGATGGACACAAAGGACCTGGGCCCTCCTCAAGTATATGTTCTGATCGGGGAGGCCATAACCATGGAACAAGTGAACCAATAAGATGATTGCACATGGTGACGAGTGCCAGGCTTGGGGGAAACAGAGGGATGAGAAAGCAAGAAACAAGGTGGGAGGAGGGGGCTGTTCTAGATGGGTGATCAGGGAGGGCCTCCCTAAGGAGATGGCATCTAAGCCAGGACTTGAAGGAAAAATAGGTGTGGTGCCCCTTATCGACCTGGCAGGGAATGTTCTAGGCAGCAGCAGCAGCACATGCAAAGGCCCTGAGGCAGGAGCATGTTGCTGTGTTTGAGGAACAGCTGCAGAAGGATGGCTGGTGAGGAACCTAGAGATGCTGGCAGACCTGAGAGAGCGCTGTATGCAGTGGATCAGAATAGGGAGCTTGGGTTTTATACTAAAAGCAGCAGGGAGCCATGGACAGGTTGTAAGTGGCAAAGTAACAAGACCCCATCAATGTTTGTTTGTTTTTAAGACAGAGTTTTACTATGTCGCCCTTGGTAGAGTGCCGTAGTGTCACAGCTCACAGCAACCTCAAACTCTTGGGCTTAAGTGATTCTCTTGCCTCAGCCTCCCAAGTAGCTAGAACTATAGGCACTTGCCACAATGCTTGGCTATTTATTGTTGTTGCTGCTGTTGTCATTATTGTTTAGCAGGCCCAGGCCGGGTTCGAACCCACCAGCCCCAGTGCATATGTGGCTGGCACCTAGTCCCCATCAATGTTTCTGAAGCTCCCTCTGGCTGCCATTTGCACAGACAGCCACAAGGGGCTAGCCTGGAAGCAGAGAAGAGGCTGTTGCCATGAGTCAAGTGATGCCCCCAACCCTGATGCATGTTCTTTCCCCTCCCATACCAGCCTCAGTCACCTCATCTGCCCCTGTGGTCTCCATCCATCCGCCACAGCTCACAGTGCAGCCGGGGCAGCTGGCCGAGTTCCGCTGCAGTGCCACAGGGAACCCCATGCCCACTCTTGAGTGGACAGGTGAGGCTGTGGCAGTAGTGACCTTCAGGGCCTGGCTCTCCTGGGTATGGGAAGGCAGGGGTAGGACTCTAGACCGTGGAGTTACAGCCCTCAGGGCACCAGGGTAGCTCCCATGTCAGTGGGTACTAACCCCATGTCTCCCTGTTAGGGGGGCCTGGTGGCCAGCTCCCTCAGAAGGCACAAATCCAGGGTGGCATCTTGCGCCTGCCGGCTGCCGAGCCTTCAGATCAGGCCCAGTACCTGTGCCGGGCCCACAGCAGCGCTGGGCAGCATGTGGCCAGGGCTGTGCTCCATGTGCATGGTGAGAGGGACAGGCTGAGGGTGGGGCCTGGGAGCCCGGAGGTGGCCCAGAAGACTATTCTCACAGTGCTCTATCACAGGAGGCAGCGGGCCCAGGGTCCAGGTGAGCCCAGAGAAGACTGAGGTGCAGGAAGGCAGCACCGTGTGGCTGTACTGCAGGGCTGCAGGTGTGCCGAGTGCCACCATCACCTGGAGGAAGGAAGGCGGCAGCCTTCCCCCGCAGGTGAGCAGATCCAGCCTACCCAGGCACACAGGCTCCATGGAGGATCCCAGCGCTACCCACCCTGGTCCTATGGCAACCCCAGGACCAGCATGCTGGTCCTCCATCTCCTCTCTGCTCCCTTCACTCCCTGTAGGCAGCCTCAGGCAGCCTCTTTGAACCTGGTTTTGTCCTCCTGGGTGCCCCCGAGGGTGCTAACATTGGCTCTGTGACTGCCTCTATCTCTTATGCCCTGTCTGCCCCCTCGCTGGTGGCCCTGCCAGGCTGCCTCTTGAGTGGCTGACCCTTCTGACCACATGGCAGGCCCGGTCTGAGCGCACAAACATTGCCACACTGCTCATCCCAGCCATCACAACCGCCGATGCCGGCTTCTACCTCTGTGTGGCCACCAGCCCTGCAGGGACTGCCCAGGCCCGGATTCAAGTGGTTGTCCATGCAGGTGCGGGACCTCTGGGCACTGTGGGAGTGGGGGTCCAGCTAGGGCTCCCCTGAGACCTGCTCACGACCCGTCTTCTCCAGCCTCGCGTGGCAGCTCACCACCAGTCAGGATTGAGTCCTCATCCCCTTCTGTGACGGAAGGGCAGACACTCGACCTCAACTGTGTGGTGGCAGGGTCAGCTCACACCCAAGTCACATGGTATAGGCGAGGGGGCAGGCTGCCTCCCCACGCCCAGGTAGGAGGGTCCTGTGTCAGACGTCCTGGGGAGCAGGGGCCTTAGCTGGGTGGTGGGACCCTGCCCTGGAGCAGGCTGCACACTGCCCCACACCCCACTCCAGCAGGACCCAGGCCTTCCCTCCCTCCCTCCCCAGCTCCCAGCATAGAATGGCTCCTGACGAAAGCCCTGAGATTTGGCGAATGAGTCACTAAGGCTCAGAGGGAGCGGTGACTATGGACCCTGTCCCTGTTCTCACATATCTCTGCCCCTTGGTCCAGGTCCATGGCTCCCGGCTGCGGCTCTCCCAGGTTTCACCAGCCGATTCTGGAGAATATGTGTGCCGGGTAGAAAATGGATCAGGACACAAGGAGGCCTCCATCACTGTTTCTGTCCTCCATGGCACCCATTCGGGCCCCACCCAAACCCCAGGTGAGAAGCCCAGTAGGGCTGAGCAGGGGTTACGCCCCAGGATCTCCCCTCTCCTCCCCAGGGAAGGTGCCTGTGACCCTTTCAGTTGTGTCAGGACAGGGGGGACATTCTAGGCAGGTTTTGACCCTCCATTGCCTGCTCAGGGAGATAAAGGGACTGAAGCTGGGGACAAGGTTGGTGGAGCTTACCCAGGGCCCCACGTGAGAGTAACATTTCAGATTTATCAGGAAGCAGCAGAGTCCAGATTGAACCCTGGGTGGTAATCAGGCTGACCTAGGTTCAAATCCTGCTCTGCCCTTTATTAGCCTCGAACCAGTTTTTACCTATTGGGGCCTCACATTCCTTATTTGTGAAATGGGACAGTACCACTTACCTGTTTGGTCATGGTGTGGTTTAAATGAGATGGTGTCAGTGGAAACTACTTGTGAGCACACAGTAACCCTGCAGAAGGGAGTTGTATCATTGTTGTCTACAGCCTGGGTGGTGAAGTCTATGGGTTCCCTGCAGGCCAGAGCAGTTCATCATCAAGAAGTCGTGGGTGGAGGCCAAGCACAGTGACTCACGCCTGTAATCCAAGCGTTTTGGGAGCCTGAGGCAGGCTGATCCCTTGAACTCAAGAGATCAAGACCAGCCTAAGCAAGAGCAAGACCCTGTCTTTACTAAAAATAGAAAAATGAGCTGGGCCTGTAGTCCTAGCTACTCAGGAGGCTGATGCAGGAGGATCACTGAGCCCAGGAGTTTGAGGTTGCTGTGAGCTAAGATGACACCATGGCGTTCTAGTCTGGGCAACATTGTGAGACTTGGTCTCAAAACAAAAAAAGAAGTCATAAGTGAGCAAATGGGCCTCCAGTTCCCAGTTAGAGGTGGAGGAAGGAAGGAGGTTCACTCCACTAGCCATCCTGAGGCAAAAGAGTATGATCCCAGACCCAGAAGGGCCACCTCTCATCCCTCCGGAGCTAGAGCCTGGTCAGATCTCAAGAACCCAGGCCTCTGAACAACCCTTCTGTGCCCCAGCCTCTGGCAGCACCCAGCCCATCCGAATCGAGCCCTCCTCCTCACATGTGGCCGAAGGGCAGACCCTGGATCTGAACTGCGTGGTGCCTGGGCAGGCCCATGCCCAGGTCACATGGCACAGGCGTGGGGGCAGCCTCCCCGCCCAGCACCAGGTATGGCAACCCCAGGATCGGCATGCTGGAAGGGTTGGATGGAGCTCTCCAAGCCCCTCCTAACCCACCTGTCTGCCTACAGACCCATGGCTCGCTGTTGAGACTGTACCAGGTGTCCCCTGCTGACTCAGGCGAGTACGTGTGCCGAGTGGTGGGCAGTTCTGTGCCCCAGGAGTCCTCTGTCCTAGTCACCATTGAGCCCTCTGGCTCCATCCCTGGTGAGTGACTCCCAGTGACATGGCAAGCTGAGGGTGCAATGAACCCTCCAGTAAGGTCTAAGGGACTCCCATTGCTGACACCAGGCAGGAGGCCCAGGTGGGAGTTGGCCACAGGGCCTCACCCAGGCAGAGGCCACTTATCTGAGTCAATGCTGTCTTCCCCCATCACTTTGGCCTTGGTGTCTATTCCTGCCTCATCTTCCTCTCTCCCAGCCCCACTACCCTCATCACTCTCACTTCCTTACTTCCCTCTGCAAGGCTCAGCTCATTGCTGAGCTAAGACCATCAAGCCTCAGGCCACCAGGCCCTAAGAACATAGGCCTGACCTCGGAACCTGAGGCTCAGCTGGCTCCAGGGTGAGGGCTCCTGCCCTCTCTCCTGGGAGCACATACATGTACTACCCTCGATCCTGTCCCTCAGCCCCAGGACCCGTCCCACCTGTCAGGATCGAGTCTACATCCTCCACAGTGGCTGAGGGGCAGACCCTGGATCTGAGCTGTGTGGTGGCCGGGCAGGCCCATGCCCAGGTCACATGGTATAAGCGCGGGGGCAGCCTCCCTGCACGACACCAGGTACACAGCACCAGGAACATGGGAAGCAGCCATGGATGGGAGTTGTGGGGGCTGGGAGGCTTGTAGTTCTCTGCCCAGGGAGGCAGAGGTGGGGGCATCTACTGGGCTCTGGGAATCCCCTCTCTAACGCCCCTGCCCATATTGCCCAGGTGCGTGGCTCCCGCCTGTACATCTTCCATGTCTCACCCGCCGATGCGGGCGAATATGTTTGCCGGGCCAGCAATGGTGTGGAGGCCTCCATCACAGTCACAGTAACCAGGACTCAGGGAGCCAACTTTGCCTATCGTGAGTGGGGACACCAGGTGGTCAGGGATGCAGAAAGAGGATAGGCTGGGCCACCTCAGAGGAGTGACCAGTGACTGTCTTACCCCCCAGCCCCTGGCAGCACCCAGGCCATCCGCATCGAGCCCTCCTCTTCACACGTGGCCGAAGGCCAGACCCTGGATCTAAACTGCCTTGTACCTGGGCAGCCTGATGCCCAGGTCACATGGCACAAGCGTGGGGGAAGCCTCCCCGCTCGGCACCAGGTATGGAACTGGAAGACAGATAGGCCATGAAGAGGAAGGGTCTCCTGGGTGGTGGCAGCTCCTCTGAGACAGGAGATCCCAACATATAAGTGTGTAGGGCACTGGTTAGAACCCGGGATATAGGACCAGCCAGCTTAGCCATGAAACCTGGTTCCAGCATTTACTCACTTGTGACTTTGGGCAAGTTCCTGAACTTCTCTATGCTATAGTTTCAGCAACTATAATATGGTAACAATAGTACCTACTTTACAGGATCGTCTTCAAGATTAAAGTTAGTATACATGCAAAGCAGAGCTTAGGCTCATAGAAAGTGCCCTAAGCTCTGTGGGAGGCCAAGGAGGGAGGATTGCTTAAGCTCAGGAGTTCAAGATCAGCCTGAGCAAGAGTGAGACCCCATCTCTACTAAAAATAGAAAAATTAGTTGAGCACTGTGGTGAGTGCCTATAGTCCCAACTACTCAAGAGGCTGAGGCAAGAGGATTACTTAAACCCAGGAGTCTGAGGTTGCTGTGAGCTATGATGCCACCACACTCTAGCCAGGGTAACAGAGTAAGACTGTCTTAAAAAAAAAAATAGTGCTTTACGCTATTGATATTACCGTAATACCATTGTTATTACTGTATTTTGTAGAATTTAGGATACCACTGGTTCCAAGATGCACCATTATTTTATGTACCTCTGAAGGGGAAAAAAAGCTTCCATTTGGAATTGTGAGATTATTTGTCCTAGGTGCTTCTTGGTTTCAGAGACATTGAGATGTGTGTCTCAAATTGATGGAGTGTGGAATGAGCATGTGCCTGGCTCACCAGGGCCCCTCTGGCTCACCACCCCACTCCTGGGATCAGAATCCACCAAGCAGGACAGGGAAGCTGAGCCAATGCCCATGGCCAGGCCTCGGGGTCAGAGGGAGGCAGGGCTACAGGTTAGGTGTCCACAAGGGCTCCCTCTGACTGACTCCCCAACTCCTGGACAGACCCACGGCTCCCTGCTGAGACTAAACCAAGTGTCTCCTGCCGACTCTGGCCAGTATGTGTGCCGAGTAGTGGGTGGCTCTGTGCCCTTGGAGGCCTCTGTCCTGGTCACCATTGAGCCTGCAGGCTCTGTGCCTAGTGAGTAGCTCTCAGGGAGGGGGAGGCTCAGGGGCCAGCCTGGGGGGTGTCTCCTCACTGCCTCACTGCGGCCAAGGCAGGGTGGGGGGCCACACACTTGCTATGAGACCAATAGCCCGTCTCTTCCCACATTACGGCCAGGGACTGACCCTCTGCCCTCTGTCCCCAGCAGTTGGGGTTACCCCCCCAGTCCGGATCGAGTCATCTTCCTCACACGTGGCTGAAGGGCAAACCCTGGATCTGAACTGCCTCGTTGCTGGGCAGCCCCATGCCCAGATCACATGGCACAAGCGTGGGGGCAGCCTTCCTACCCGGCACCAGGTAGGAGATGGGGGCTCAAGGAAGGCCCAGAGGACCTTGTGATCGTGGCATAAAGAGCAGAGGCTTTGGATTCAGGCATATTTCAGTTCAGAGTCTGCTCTGTCACTTGCCTATCCCAGAGGCCTTAGGCCAGTCACCTGATTCCCTGACCCTAAGTATCCTCATCCATCAAATGGCACACACTGCCTACCTCACCCAGTCCATACCACGTCAACAAATTTTGGTGCCCGACTTTTCCCTGATGCAGGGTCTTAGCAGTCCTTGGCATGGGTGAGGTGGCAGCTAGACCCAGTCCTGACACTGGGGCAGGAGAAATGAAGGGAGAAGGTGGTTCTCCTTGGGAGATCTTCGTCACATTCAAGCCAACTGGGCCAGAAGGGAGACTAGGGAAGGGACAGGAGCCCTAGTGCCTGGCTCTGATCCCTGCCTCCTCCCACCTGCCCCTCCCAGGTCCATGGCTCAAGACTGCGGCTGCTCCAGGTGACCCCAGCTGATTCTGGGGAGTATGTATGCCACGTGGTCAGCAGCTCGGGCACCCAGGAAGCCTCCGTCCTTGTCACCATCCAGAAGCGCCTTGGCACCTCCCACTGTGAGTGTCTCAGGGATGCTGCAATGATGGAGGGCTGCCAGGAGCTAACTCTGCCCTCAGCAGCTCCCATACCCTACCTTCTGTCTTACCCTCCCAGCCCAGAGTGTGGTGTACCCCGTCCGTATCGAGTCCTCCTCAGCTTCCCTGGCCAATGGACATACCTTGGACCTCAACTGCCTAGTTGCCAGCCAGGCCCCCCACACCATCACCTGGTATAAGCGTGGAGGCAGCTTACCCAGCCGGCACCAGGTACACAGCCGTGGGCAAGGATGCAAAGGCAGGGTATACTGGCCCTGACAAGCAGTCAGGGGTGGCTCTTAGGGCTTTGCTTATTCAGTCGTTAACAAACACTGGGTATCCTTGCTTGGGGGAGGCCCTGTACTGGTGCTGAGGATGCAGAGCTAAGTCCTGCTGATCTCAGGTGGACCCGCTGACACACTGAATTTCACTGAGAAGCTGCTCCAGGCCAAGTCCTGTGTCTGACTCTGCGGATCCCAACTGGAATCAGATAGTTGTCTGCCCTCGGGCAGTTTGTGGGCTGCAGGAGCCCCAGCAGGGTGCTATGTCCACACTGGGAAGGGTCTTGGCAGGCTTTCTGGAAAGGTGACAAAAGACCAGAATCACCATCCACCCCGGCCCAGACACAGGCCACACACCTTGCCAGGAACCTCAGGAAAGCCCCTGGGTAGGCTGGGGGTCCAGCACCAGTCAAGGCAAGGGGGCTCTCAGAGTCCAGGGGCCGCAGCAGCAATGCCAAGATGTGGTGGGGTCACCCCCACCCCCTGACACCTGCTTCCTCCAGATCGTGGGCTCCCGGCTACGGATCCCTCAAGTGACTCCTGCGGACTCAGGAGAGTACGTGTGTCATGTCAGTAATGGTGCCGGTTCCCAGGAGACCTCTCTTGTTGTCACCATCCAGGGCAGTGGCTCCTCCCATGGTGAGGGCACAGAGGGCAGAGGTCCAGGCAAAGTAGGTGCAGGGGAGGCAGGGTAGTCTGTGGTGCCATACTACCCTGTCTGACTGGCTGGCTGCATGGGCTTGTCTGACTGGCTGCATGGGCTGTGTCCCCCCATCCCCAGGGCCCAGCATCTTCCGCCCCATCAGGATCGAGTCCTCATCCCCCACAGTGGTGGAAGGACAGACCTTGGATCTGAACTGTGTGGTGTCCGGACAGCCCCAGGCTGTCATCACGTGGTACAAGCGTGGGGGCAGTCTTCCCCCCAAACACCAGGTATAGAGTGGAGCCACAGCTATAGGGATTGGGACCCTAATCTCCTGGGATGGGTAGTCCAGGGACAGCCCCTTGGGCTCCTCTCATGCCCTGGAAGCCCCCCCATGCTGGTCCTGGCATGGGGGCAGGCCTGATAGGGGAGGCCTGAGCCAGCTGGTGACCCTGGGGTCCTCCCTCTCCTGTCCATCCCCACCTACCCACCCAGATCCATGGCTCCCACTTGCGGTTGCATCAGATGTCTATGGCAGACTCGGGCGAGTACGTGTGCCGGGCCAACAACAACATCGATGCCCTGGAGACCTCCATCATGGTCTCCGTGTCCCCTGGCACCAGCAACCCCTCCGGTAAGTCCGGCAAAGGAGACACAGTGACAGTGCTTCTTGGGGAGAAGGAGCTTTGGAGTCAGAGTCCTCAGACCCGGGAGGCCAGGGTCAGGGCTATTCACAAAGATGCCTGGGTTCAAATCCCACCTGCACCACTAAGGACCTTAGAGTTACTTTCCCTTTCCAGCCTCAGTTTCTTCACAGTGAAATAGCGATCTCAATCCTTCTGCCCCCACAGAGCTACACTCCCAAGGCAGTGGCCATGAGGTGCCTGTGGCAATGAAAATTAAATAAATTTTAAAATTCGATTTCTAACATTTCAAGTGCTCATTATCCACATGTGTCCAGTGGCCACTGTCTTGGCCAATGCCGATAAAACATTTCTATCATCATAGGAAGTTTATGAATTTTGTGAGGATTGAGTTAATACATATAAAGTGCTTAGAATAATGCCCAGCAGGCCGGGCGCTGTGGCTCACACCTGTAATCCTAGCACTCTGGGAGGCCGAGGCAGGTGGATTGCTTGAGCTCAAGAGTTCAAGACCAGCCTGAGCAAAAGCAAGACCCCGTCTCTACTAAAATAGAAAAATTGAGGCAAGAGGATCGCTTGAGCCTAGGAGTTGGAGGTTGCTGTGAGCTATGACACCATGGCACTCTACCCAGGGCAACAGCTTAAGACTCTGTCTCAAAAAAAAAAAAAAGAATAATGCCCAGCACACTGTAAGAGTCTAATAAATGTTAACTCTTGTTACCCTAGGGCAGCGGTTCTCAATCTGTGGGTTGCAACCCATGGGAACTGTATTAAAGGGCTGCAGCATAAGGAAGGTTGAGAACTACTGCCCTAGGGCATGGGTTTCTGTGGCTGAATGTCCCCCAACCCAGTCCCCAAATATGACAACGGCTGAGCCCTGACTTGCTGCTTCTGTGTCCCAGTCTCTGGCAGTACCATGCCCATCAGAATTGAGTCATCGTCATCACAGGTGGCTGAAGGGCAGACCTTGGATCTGAACTGTGTGGTGCCTGGGCAGGCCCATGCCCAGGTCAC